TTCCATGTAGCTGCTGCTGCCTTAGACCGCGTTAAAATGTGTAACAGCGGATGATAGCTTTGTATGATAAACACACGATTGTTAAACTGTTACATTAAAATTCACAACTTAAGAACTAAAATAAACCTGCTTGGAACACAAAATACTGCCTATCCCTTAGCCTGCTACTAGATCAATTTGAAAATCTTAGGGGACTTCCTTCTTGAGTTATTGCATTTACAAGATTTTCAGAAAATGTGACCTATGACCTTGACTTTGAGTTCAAGGTCACAGATTCAAACTCAAAAACATTTAATAGCTGCTCCTATGGTGCTGCTCCTGGTGACCTCTGACCTTGAGTTCAAGGTCACCAGGACTCGAACTTGCCTGAGATTTTTAGTAGATGCCTCTATGGTATAATTTCAGAAAAACAACACTGTGTAACTCTCAGGTTATCACAGTCATAAACTTGGGTGTTTGCACTATTAGGAATGTGGCCACCTAGACCAATAACAATCTGCTAGTTAACCCACTGCAACAGCTAATAACTCTACGCTCTTGTCTATAAGTTAATTTCTGACTTCCCTAAAACCCAAATGGATGGATCAAATGTTGGCCTTTATGAAGGTTTAGCAGTTACCCCCAATTCATTGTTGACTCATAGTAAGTGAAATAACACTGAAAGGTGTTTTTAGTGCTGAGAAATGTTTCACAAGTTTCTCCTCTACTCCTTACCCTCCAGGTGCTTGACAATGCCGCGGAGACTGTTGCCATGGGCAGCAATCAGCACCCTCTTTCCTTCTTTGATCTGTGGCACGATCTCCTCGTTCCAGAAAGGAAGTGCCCGAGCAATGGTGTCCTTAAGACTCTCACAGCTAGGGAGCTGGTCCTCTGTCAGGTCAGCATAACGTCGGTCCTACAGGGAAAAAGAAGAAGTCGGTGTTGTCAAAATAGTTTCAGCAACACAGGGTTACATTGATGCAATAACAAAAAGAGTCATGTTGTCACAATTTCCCCGAGCTGTTACCTTGCTTATGGTCTGATAATAGTCATGTCCCTCATCCATAGGTGGGGGAGGAATGTCAAAAGAACGCCTCCAGATCTTGACCTGGGCTTCCCCGTGTTTGGCTGCCGTTTCAGCCTTGTTCAGCCCAGTCAGACCACCATAGTGACGCTCGTTGAGGCGCCAGGTCCGGTGGACGGGCAGCCACATCTGGTCGATGCTATCCAGGACAAACCACAGAGTGCGGATGGCCCTCTTTAGGACAGATGTGTAGCAAATGTCAAACTCATAGCCAGCATCTGAGGGGAAACAGAGATGACATTTTGAGACGTGTATTTCAAAACAGTTTATCATATTTTTCATGAAGGAATACTACTGCAGCTACCATTCACAGGATCAAATAATAGATACCTTCATGTTTTATTGCCCTTCTTTTAACAGTTGCATGTGATTTTTCTTGATCAGGGGCCGCAAGGCACTGGCAGACGTAACACTGCAAGATGTGCCTGTTTGGGATTTTTAGGTCATAAATAAAACAGCAGGAGTGTGTGTGTGTGTGTGTGTGTGTGTGTGTATCCAGCACAATGACTCAGCAAACAGTAATATTCTGCCCTCTGGAAACAAAAGCATCTTTGGCCTGGTTTTATGCTCCAGTTTCAATTAATGCTCATTTCTAAAAGCTATGGATTATTTTTTTTTTGATAAATACAAACACACTTAAGATCGTCAGAGACTAAATTAATTATATTATGACTCTCCAAAATACTTCTGTGGTTAAAGAACACCACAAATAAGAATTGCTTTCTTTGAATGAAAATTATAGGCTATATTGCTGCAGGAGGCGCCAAACCGTCTGCCCTGGTGGGAGAGAAGCTAATGGAAAAAAAACTCCAGTAGCATTTAATTTGAAGCAGTGACCGTGTGGTCCAGCAGACTGCGGGACAACCCGTGAAATGACTCCATCCCTTCCGCCGCACTGGGCCTACCACCGGTTTCCCCATTCAACAAAGTTGCGTAAGCACCGGCTTGCTGTGGCTTAATCCAGTGACCGAGAGAAAGCCCGATTTGGCCTTGACATTTTCTGATACCGTACCTTTCAAGGCCTGTCCTCCCCTCTTTGCCTCCTGCTCCCCGGTCTCGCTCAGGTCCGCGTCGAACCAGCCGCAGAAGCGGTTCTCCTGGTTCCAGCAGCTCTCTCCATGGCGGATCAGCACAATCTTGTACGCAGCCATCCTCACACCAATGTCCTCTACGCTGTATTTCCGGGAACTTCGGGGAAAGTGACTCCTCGTAAAAGGCAGCAGAAGCAACGGTCTCAGATTTAGCCGGACTTCCCCGAAACCCCAAAAGTTCCTACAAAGCAACAGGCCGGTGATTGCTAAATGTGAGCTCGAGTGATGGAAGGTTAGCGAGTAGCCCAGTTTGACAGCTCTCAAGATTTGAGTCCTCTTCCTCTCTTCCTGCTAGTTTCCGCCAATCAGAAGGCGTGCTGCGTTCAATGGAGGAGGGGAGGCAGGAAGACGCGCACAGCGGCACGTCCACACCGGTGTTTGTGCATCATGTTAGCACGTGCCTGTAAAAAAAATCACGAATGATCATTTTAATCATTGAAAAAAAAGTCATATATCGCATATCCTCACTAAGTTAGAAACATATTTTCAATTCAGTTTAATGAGTGGAAAGAGAAGAGAGCAGAGGAAGACACATCGGAGAGAGACGAAGTTTCAAACTTGTTACTGTTGATTAAATCCAGTTACTGGTTATTGAATTTATACTCTACTCTGTAGTGGTGTATAAATACACGGAGAGCGAAAGATTGATCATATTTAAGATAGAACCATTAGTTAATGGTAGCATCTGTGAAACATGATCCAAACATAAGACTGTGCCATAATCTCAAAGCTAGTCTACATAGTTTCTGTTGTCACTGTCAAAAATGCGATAATCGGTTACTTTCATAATTATTTAGGTCACTGTAGACAATTTACTTAAATGCATTATGTTCAAAGATGTTATAGATATTTGTGCACTTTATTAACATGAAGGAGAAAATTTTAGAAACACCACTAAAGCACCACTAGTATGATATTAATAATAAACACTATAGCCTCATCACATATTTAGACAAATATAGATTACCAGTAAAAGTAAAAAATGACAGCAGAACTATTGTGTAAAATCTAAAACACCTGTTGGGTTATAAAAATCAATCACTGATACAAAAGGTGAGTCAGTATTGTCACCTTTTCTTCTCTTTTAACTCCCAGACTCCCATTTGACAAATAAATTATTTATATGTGATTACATGATTTATTATTTATCATTAATATTTTAAACTTAATATAACATCGTTTTAAACTGAGTATATTTAAATAAGGAATCCTTCATGGTTAGAAACCCTGAGATGTGAGTTGGGTTTTCCTGTTACTCATTGGAATTTTCAGACATTCATCACACTGAGATGTGGTAGTCGTGTGATGAGTATGCACTTAGTGTACCCGCATTTAAACCACACTTTGTTGTCTTCAAATGTTCAGTGTGACTCTAAATTCAGAAAGGTTCAGATTTTAACACCCCCTACTCAAGATATTAAGCCTTTTTCTTACAATGGATAGCATCCATTCTAACAACAGGAGCAAAGGGTGAGAAGTGGCAAATGAGTGCACATATACCAGCAGATTCACAACACTTTTAATGAAACCTATAATACCATCTACAGGTAAAGGGACACACAGTGGACATCCCCCACTGAAAATTTAGAGCATATACATTTGTCTTTTCCAATAAAGGACGGAGAAGGCATCTCCCTGTCACCCCTGTAGGGGGTGCTGTGTGTCTGTTTCTCAAGCCTCTTGGCCTGAGAGTTTGGAGGCTCTGTGTTATATCTCAGCAGTTCTGAGACCGGACAGAGACCTCTGATGGAATCTGTTAGAGCCACTCTTCCAGCTTGGAGTTTGTTCCAAATGCCTTTATTCTATTCTATCACTAGAATCACTTTGGACTTCCACGTCTGTTCCAGTTTTCCTTTAGCCCATGGTGCTCCTTTCTTTTCTTGTGCTCCTTTTTCTTGATGTTACTTTCAACCGAGATTGCCACATCTGTCACAGCTGCAGTCTTCTGTTCCTTGTCAACCATCACTATGTGTGGTTGGTTGACCCTGCAGCTGTTTATTTGTCTGGAACTTGAAGTCCTACAGTACCTTAGCGCTGGTGTCCCCAACCACCTTCAGCGTCATCTCC